GAGTAGACCGATTCTACCACGAATGATCCTTCCCATTTGGGATTGAATTTCTCTTTTGTCTTATGTGTCATGATCATAGGTCGTCTGAAAGACGAGGTCGCCTTTCTTAAAGATCCTTTCTTTGACCTTTTTGCTGTAGGTTTTTGAGATTCGAGCTTGGTATAACTCGATCTGTTGTTAGGCTTGAATTCGCTTATCATCTAACACTTCCAGCTCTTGATATAATTTCTGCAATGTCATTAGCTGACGGATAATATATCGTTGATGCGATACTTTGAATTCTAAACTTGTTGCAGAATCTCTAAAAACCGTGGCCGACGAATTGAGTTCTATTGTCGTGAACTATTTGTCTTGGTACGTCAAAACGGTAAATAACGTGATGTTTAATGAATTTGATCACATTGGAAGCCTTGACTTCTTTCAAAGGAATTGCTTCAACCCACTTAGAAGTAATCGATAAACTGATGTCCTTTAGATGTTGGCGGAGAGATGGGTCTAATGATATCCATTCCTCACATCTCGAATGGCCAAAATGAAAATGTTGAATGCAGATTCTCTGGTGCTTGATGGATGAAGTCACCATGGATCTGGCAAGCATGATATCATTTAGCATAATCAACAACATCTGGAATCATTTTTGGTCAAAAATAGCCAAGAATCTGGAGTCGGTCCCGCAATTTGGGTCCTGCCTGATGAGCTCCACACATTTCATCATGAGCTTCTTTGAAAGCTTCTTGCGCTTCTTTTCTGGAAAGACAGCGAAGTAAAACTCCATTATGCGATTTTCGATACAAAGTTCGAGAAACCGTATTATAATGGAATCAAAGGGCTTTCCGTTTAACGGCAGCCGCTTTTTTGGGGTCATCAGACAATATGTCATATAAAACATAGTCGATGAACGAGAATCACCAATCCCTTGGTTTGAGATCTGCGAAAGTTTCACAGAAGATCTTTGTTGTTGCCTCTTCTGTACAGTCTTTTAGAGGTAACTTGGAGTGATACAAGTCACGACTTGAGACGAATTTCTTTGCTTCTGCTTTCTATGATAACATTGCTAACGAAGCTAAAACGTCTGCATACGCACTTTGTGTCGCGGAATGTATCCGATAAAGAAACCTTCAGAATTTTGAGCTAAATTTAACGTCGTGAAGTGTTAAGGCCCTAAGTCCTTATTACGCACTTCATATTCCCCTCGAACCTAATTCACGATGAGTTGAGAATCACCGTAGGCCTCGAGATGTCGGATGTCGAGTTCCTCGGCCAATTGTATTCTTAGTAGCAATGTATTGTACTCTGCTACATTATTACTGTATGGCTCGGTTAAAGAGAATCATCTTAGGATCATATGACCAATTGGGGATACGAGTACAACCCCCACTCCGACTGTGATTCTTCTATCAAGTCATGCTCTTAATGCACCATCAAAGAACAATTTTCATATTTGCATGACTTCTTGAGTTACGCAAGCTTCTGCAACCTCATCTGGTAAGTCTTCATATAATTTAGAAGAATCGGGTACCGGATGGTCGGCTAAGAAATCTGCTAGAGCTTGACCTTTAATAGCCTTCTGAGGCATGAATTACATCATATATTTACGATACAAGTATCGCCCATTTTGCGAGGCAGCAATTCAGTGAAGGTTTCGTCATGACCACCCTCAAAGGATTTACTTTAAAAATGATATGGATCAATTGTCCGACTAGGTAGTGTCGCATTTTCTGGATGGCGAACACTAAGGCAAGGCATTCTTTTTCTACCGGATTGTACCGATGCTCAGCTCCGATCATAGTTCTGCTGAGATAGTAGGTTGTGTGTTCATGACCATGATCATTGTTTTGAGCTAACAAAGCTCTAAGAGAATAATCCATGGCTCTCATATATAACAAGAATGATTTTCTTGATACTGGGGCCACTAGAACGGGTGACTGAGTGAGGTATCGTTTGATCTCCTCAAACGCCTTTTGACGGTCTTCATCCCAAGCGAATGAGACTTATTTCTTCAATTTGGTGAAAGGTTAGCAACGTTCTGAGAGATTTAATATAAATCTTCGGATATAAGCCAATCTGCCTTATAAGCCTCTGAGTTCTTTGATGTTCTTCGGAGGCGACATTTCTTTGATGACACAAACTTTTTCAGGTTGAGAGAAACCCCCTTAGACGTGACTATAAACCCGAGGAATTTACCGCTTACGACCCCTAGGAAAGATTTGGTTAGGTTCATCTTCAATTGATGTGTTCGCATGATGTCAAACATCATCTTCAGATCTGAAAGATGATCAACTTTCTTTTGGCTTTTCACCGTAATATCGTCCACGTAACACCCAATCTTCTTGCTTAGGTGTTCATGGAAGATCGTATTCATGGTATGCTGATAAGTTATACCAGCGCTCTTCAGTCCGTAGGGTATTACTGTATAGCAGTACACCCCCAGTGGTGTTCTGAAAGCTACGTGTTTTTCGTCTTCAGGGTTCATTTTAATCTGGTTGTACTCTGACAATCCATCCATAAACGACATACTCTCATACCCACAAGTATTGTCAATCATGACATCTATGATTGGGAGATAAAATTCGTCTTTCGGGCATGCAGTGTTTAGGTCACGAAAATCAATATAAATTCTAACCTTTTCATTTTTCTTAAATACAGGAACAATGTTACCCACTCAGTCAGGGTGTTGTTCCTCCTTGATGAAACCTGAATCGATAAGCTTCTTGACTTCCAATTCAATTGCTTCTATGATTTCCGAACGAAACCGACGTTGTTGCTGTTTAACGGGTTTCGCATCCAGATCGAGTTGAGACGATGCATGGCTACTTTCGGCTCAAGACCAGACATATTTTGTAATTCCAAGCAAATATATCTATATATTCTCTGATGAGAGATGTAAGGTTCTTTCTCGGATGATGATAAGCTCTCGCTTATGAAAATTGGCTTGGGATTAGTTTCACCCCTCATATTAATTTGGATCGCCTTATCTTCAGTCGACGGCTCGCGTTGTTCAAAGTGTATGTCCCATAAGATATTAAGGCGTTTGATCCAAGGATCGTTGGCTAATTCAATCAACTCTTCTACAACCAATAATAATGAAACAAGATAAAACAATGAAAAGAATTACAGGATTAAAAGAAAGAAATGGGCATGAAAAAAGGCACATGATTACATGAAAGATAAAACAAGAACCCTAATCTTCTACAACCAATAATAATGAAACTTAATTTTATGCTATAATTTGCAGCATGATTTAGAGTTGATCAACATTTAGATAAAATAATTTATATATGTCATATGACGGCTTTGAAAATAAAAAAATAAGTAGATAGATTACAGGAAGGCCTCAAAGGTTAATATCCTTCCTTCATCAATAAAACAACTACCAGATACATGACCAACTTTGTTATACATTTAGGCTTCACAAAAAGGATAAAAGAAACTCAGGATAAGCTTGATACTCTTCAAGCAGTTTTAGTTCATGTGAATAGTAAGACTAGCAATAAACACATTTTCATTTCCTCTAAATTTGAATATATTTTAATCCTACACTAACAACCAATTTATAATTCTAACTAACAAAATCAAAGAAGATGTATTAAGACATAATATTCTAATTAAGCATTGTTGACATTAAATGGCAGTTGGTTTTTAGATAAAATCAAATGAAATTTCAAAACAATCGCACATCTTCGAAACATTAAAAACCAGAAGATAGATATTAGAAGTATTAGCAGCAAACAATTATATAACGTATCTACATGCCATATAGAGCAAACATAGAACACAAAAGCTTAAACTATTCTTGCCTTATATATAATTTTAAAAATTTCTATAGCACGTAAAACTAAAAACCCATGATAATAAATCTCCATATAATAAATACCATAGGAAAAGTAGACACCATGTAAAACAATGTCAAAGACCCTTCAAAAAACAGACACACAAAACCTAAATAAATGATGTGTATGTGTATACCAGAGGACCTGACATAAACAAAAGTTACATTTTTTTGACCTGACATAAACACAAGTTACATTTTTTTATTTCCTATATTTTTCTTACATCATTAACATTGATTTTGCCCTCTCCAAATATACTGCTTTTGAACCCTAACCATTTTGTATGGGACGTGCAATCATGAAAATAAGAAACATACACCAACTAAAACAATAGCAGGTTTCCCTTGGATGTTCCACTTCTTCCCTACATCACCAGTCTTTAACATTCCTTCCTATCAACTCATTTAAGTTCCTTGAGCCAACTAAAATACAATTTAAACAACACAATAATAAAGTAATAAAACAGGTCAACAGATGATGTGAGTATGAACAATCAATTACCTGTTAGACAATGCTTTTTACCTATGTTAGTACATAACAGCAGGTTTACAATTAGAATCAAATCAAGCAAACAAATCACATCAAAGCATGAACCAGAGCATCAATTACAACATACCAATGAAATCAGAGAGAGTGAACAATCCATTTCTATATGCACCATATCATCACTATAACCATGAAATAAAGACACATGCAGTAAAGAGTGAACAATCCATTTCTATATGCACCATATCATCACTATAACCATGAAATAAAGACACATGCAGTAAGCATATTACAGGTACAACTTATGCACCATATCATCACTATAACCATGAAATAAAGACACATGCAGTAAGCATATTACAGGTACAACTTTACATAAAACATTTTTCTCCTTATCATTTAATTTCCAAAACCCTTTTGCATTTGATTTTTTTTTTCTAACACCTGCCTACTTAATTTGATGAATGAACTCACTGAAAAGAGGAAAACCTACAAGCATTTAGAAAGCAGGCATCAGCCTTCGGTCCTCCCTTGCAATCAACCATCTTTTCCATTTTGCCCTAATCCAACACCCCCATATCAACCAAAAACTCAGATTTTCAAGAATCAAAACAAACCCGAAAGCATCACCAACATCAAGAAAACCAAGATCGATGACAAGAATCACACAGGATAGAAAAATACTAGCGATCTTGACAAGTGCGGATGTAGGTACCGTGGGAGAGCTCGCAGCAAGCCCTAGCGCTGACCGAGAGGTGAGAGGTGAGGCGAGCGCCAGCGACAACGCTATGAAGCGGTAAAAAGGATTGAGCGCATCCAAGCTCGGCAAAAGATCTGAAAGAAATCGTTACAAATTTGAGGAAATTCGAGATAAAGATGAATCTTTTATGGTTTAGGGTTAGGGGTTTTTTAGTACCTGGGAGAGGCGAAGGAGAAGCGGCGGCGATCGACGCGAGGGCCGGCAATGGGCGA